AGACTAAGATTTTAGTATAAATAAATAAATAATTTTTTTATTTAAATAAAATATTCAACATATACTATATTTAAAATGAAATTAATTGTCATATATTTTTTCGCTCCTCATAGTAATTGACACTGCAAGTGTCATGATCAAAGTAAACTGTTTCAGCTTTCTAAAAGACCTCCTTATTGCTGCCTAATTTGACCCATTAATTAATCAATTCACCTTCCCTGGAAAATTTTGTTAGGGTCACTGAGAACATACGGAAAAAGACTAATGTGCTGACTTGACTTGGCCCATAAATGTTGACAATAATGCTGTACTGCCCACTTGGAAAAAAATTGAGGTGCACCCAGCAAGCAGCCATAACTTCTACATTTTGAAAGCATCATGTGTGGAATGTGTGGCCTTCCAAAGGATAACAACCGATTATCCTTCGAATGATCATAACTCTTATGTTTTGAAAGTATTGTGTGTGGAATATATGGTCTTTCTAAGGATAATAACGGATCACCTCTTAGATGGACATTGACTCCAACACTTAGCAAGACTAGAACAACCCAAAGTTAACCCATTAACTACCTAAAAACTGGCTTCGATTAATTAATAAGAATTTGAAATAATAATAAATGGACCAAGATTTTAGTACTAATGACATAAATAATGTTATTTAAATTATTAACCTTATATTATTTAATAATTAATTTTTTTATTTTATTGAGAGTTATGATATTGTATGTATGAATTTCATTAATTCTTACCCAAATTAAAATATTTGAGGATGAGGCCGAATCATTTTGAAATACATAGTATGTATAAATGAAAATATATGCACTAATGATTACATTAAATAAAGTTCTCTAGTAATAATATACTAATAAAATGAGCCAAATAAATTAGATTGGAAAGAAATTAAACATCAATTCAAAACTAACAATAATAAAGTAGTGAATATTATGTTTAAAATATGTTGTATATCAATTTTAATTTTCAAAAAAAAATTAAAATTCTAACTTCAAAAATATCACCATCTAATGAATATTTTTTAAAATTAACTATTAAATTTAATATTATATTTATATAGTTCATACAAATTAATTTTTAAATTAATTAAATATAAAAAACTAATTCATTAATTATAAAAAATTTATTACCATTA